CCCAACCTTTTCTTGCTGCACGTGCCAGGAGCTCGGCTTCTCTCTGGCTGAGATCGGTTGGCGGGGAGAGGGCGTTTGTTCCAGGAAGGGACCCTCGGGCATCTCGGGACAGCCTGTGCCATAGGCGGAGTGCTGGACTCCTCCGGGAATGCCAGCCGTGACCTAGCCGGGGCAGCTCCTCTGAGATGGAGGAGGATCCCATTTCATCCCGCGCTCCAAACGGCGCCAGGCTGAGCGGCCAGAGGGGTGCCAGCTGGGGACTGGACTGGGAGGCCACGTGCAGCCCGCAGGTTGTGTCCGACCGGTGCAGCCGGGACCTCTCGCATGCTGGGCCAGGGGTGCTGCCGCCTCGCATGAGAGGCTCTCATACGGAGAACGCTTCCCACCGCCACCTTGTTTGTAGCTCAGTGGTGCTCAGCCTCTGGCCTGCAGGCCTCATCCAGCCCTTAGAGCTCCCTGTGGGTCCTGAAATCTGGCAGGGGTGAGGTGACAATTAACATTGCCACCACTCCCTCACTGCTGAATTTCCAAACCCGTGGGCCAGCTGGCACGGTCATGCACACAGGGCCGGGGCTGCAGCCAGAGCTGGGCTGGCCCATGTGCCAGCTCGGACCCACGGCCCCTTTCCTCTCGCACTTCTGTTGTCTGCAGCTGAGTGAAAACCTGTCTGGGGAGAATCGCGTTTCCTTTGTCCCATCGGTTCCTGCCCAGCTGTTGCTGAGATAGGGGCTATTTAAAAAGTGGTGGTTTTCATTCTCTTGCTTCCCTTCCTAAGGAAACTGTGGTCACCTTTCAAAGGCGCTGCACAGGAACGGTCTCCCCCACGGCAGCAGGGCATGCCAGATGGGCCTGCCAGACCACTGCTAGCCGAGCACATGGGCAGGCTTTGACGCCAGTCATCTCCTTTTGGGCATCACACAGGGAAGAGCGACCCCGCCGGGGCTCCCTGCCCCACTTGGACCTAGTGCTGCCTATTTCCCTGCCCTTCCCCGCTGCCAAGAGCAGCCTGATGCTGCAGCTCACGTGGTCGCTGGCTGCGAGCCGCACGGGAGCACGGCGTTCGGCCCCACTGACGATGTGGGCTGGGAGGTTGTTACAGGTGCATGAAGCATGTTTCTTGTTTTAAAAACCCGAGCAGCCGAGGAGCTGTTCAGAGAGCGTGGTTTCGGTGGTGAGCACACGCTCTTGAACTACGTGACGCTAGTGGCCCCGTCTGCTGGCGTGTCGGGGCGTGCTCTCTGATTACATGCTCATGGGCTGCTTTTTTCCACCAGGACCTCATCTCGTGGCACCCACAACTATAGTTGTACGCCTGGCGCTTCTCAAGTGCTGGACCTTGCAACTGCAGTGCCACATTTGCCAGAGCCATGCGTCTTTGCGGGGGGTGTTCATCTAACATACAAACTCTGTGACTTCAAACTGGTGGAGCCGGGGCGTGGGAAGATGATGGGATGGAAGGCAGGAAATGGTTTCTGTCTTCAGCTCTTGAAAGTTTTGTGCCCGTCTTTTGCACATCTCTGCAGCTGACATGGCTGGCAGTTGAAAGCTGATTTTTGGCAGGAAAATAGCTGTCGCTGAGGAGAGGTATTGTGGAGCGTCCTGATGACAATTGAGCTTGATTTGCCTGAGTGAGGTGTCTTTAGAAAGTGCCTGCTGTACACGCCAAGCCTGTTCGCAGGGGGCTCTTGCTGAGGCGTGGAGCGCGCAGCGGAGGAGAGCAGCTTTGTGCCGTGGCAGGGGCATTGGCTACCAGCTGGAGAGGTGAGCCACGGGCCGTGGGCTTGGACCGAAGGCGGGGAGGGGCAGAGGGAAGCTGTTCCTGGCCACGTGGGAGAGGATCTTCTTCATGCGGGTTTCCAAGGCAGGTGGGACCAGTGGTCAGCTGATGCCTGGTCTGGACGGTGGAGTTTGGACGCACCATAGTTGTGGCTTTGAGAGCCGCCGGTCGGCTTGAGGCCTGCACTGTGAGGCACCACTTTGGCTCCTTTCTGTGACTTCTGGTTTAGGAAAAGCCACTCTGGAAACGCAGCGCAAGGACACTCAGGAATGCAAAAGCTGCACAGTTAACTTGGGCATTTCCTGACTTTCCAGTGCTTTGGGTTGCATCATTCCAGCCCTGCCCCTTGTCTACATCTGCACTGACACCAGTCTCTAATTATAGTCACGTGCTGGGGTTTTGTGAAATGCAGCACACCAGGCATTTGCCGGCAACCTTTGCTATATGCACATAGCGTCTCCGTTCTGTGCACCAGCCCGTCCATCCACAGAAGCTTTTTGAATCGGGGCCCTGGGACTCCCCAGGGCCATGCTGGTTGCCCACCTGTACAGCGCAGCTTGGGAAGACGTCATGAGTGATGGGAGCAAGAACCGTGGACAAACGCTTCCCCATGCTCAGCCTGCTTCCTGTGTGTGACAGCCTGTCGCCTCGCCCGTTCCAGTTTCCCCTGCACAGTCATTTTCTCCTGCTGCCTGCGCAGGGGCCTCGTGGCAGAGGCAAGAGACCAGCCTTTTCGATAGGGGAGTCGTCTGTAAAAGCTGAGGGGGTCGGGGGCTCTCTCGGGACCTGCTGTGCCTGCAGAGTCTGCCTTTGCTGAGAGAAGGGGGTGATCCCCAGCTGGAGATGTGTTGCAACAGGGTGCCTCAGTGATGGATGCAAATCCAGGGATTTGGGGAGCACGGATAGATCCAAGTGGGGATGACCTGACCTTTGGCTCTTCCGGACTCCTGAGTGTTTAATTGTCTGGTGGGTGCTGCTTTCTGTCCGGACAGCGGTGCTTGTGAGAAGGAAGCCCACATAGCGAAGGTGAAGCATGGCAGGAGTGCGATAGCATCCAGGGTGAACGCTGTCTCCCCAGGCCTCTCGCGTACTGTCTTTGCCCTGCGAGCTGCCGGTGGGATAGGTGCCAGGCGGGCGGGCAGGTGGCGGTTCGGTTCTTGTGACCTCTGGGCACTCGGGCCAAAGGAACGTCCTTGCTCTTGGTGATCGGTTCCCTCCCGCTGAGCGCTGCCCCCAGCCCTCGCACCCCCTCCGCAGAGGGATGTGTCTCGTGTGGAAGTGGTGAGGACAGGAAGCTGCGTTTGGTGGCAGCCTTTTTGGGGAGAGAGGAGCAAGCGTCACTTGTTTAGCCTCTCCCTGGGCCTGTTGCTGAGGAGCCGGTGACTGCAACAGTCCAGGCCGGGGAGCAGAGCTGGGCCCAGGAATGCGGTCGGCACGTGCCCGTGCCCCGCGTGCACCTCTGCCAAAAGGCATGAGAGGCCCCAGGCTCCCCCCGTGCCTGCCTGGAGCACACCTCGCCTGCCACGCTTCCCAGGCAGCTTGGCAGCACATTGGGCCTGGCTGTGCCAAGGCAGCTTCTTGCTCCTCCTCCCCGGATCCACTTCCTGCCAGGAGGCACAGCTGTTGTGTATGTCAGCCTGCACCGGCGGTGCACGGTAATGGGGCAGGCGGGTGGGGGCCTTGGTAAGCAAGAGTGGGGCCTGCTGCCGCCGGCATCTCCCCTGCCTGCTGGAGCACCCGCCGGGGCAGGGCCGAGCTTGCCCGAGCGCGTGCATATCCCTGCTGCCTGCCAGGGGGTGCGATTTTTGTGTCTGCTCTGTTACCCGGGGTCAGTGACCTCCCGTCCTTATTGCCCAGGGAGATGTGCCCTTTGCCCCAGAGCTGGAGCCATGGCTCGAGGGCTCCCTGCTGCCGTCTGGGGCAGCAGCTCAGTGCAGCCGGTTGTCTTGCAGCAGGGACAGCAGCACCCGAGCAAACTTTCTCCCAGCTGCTTCTAGTAATCGGAAACTGTCCCCACCCTCTGCCTTTGTCCCCAACCTTTCCACCCAGCTGAAGGTCAGGCGAGGGAGCTGGGAGGAGCTCCAGGTGCTGGAAACTCCCCGCTCCATGGGATGCTGCCGGCAGCTCGCTTCAGGGTCTTGCTGGCTTCCTTCCACCAGCGAGGGGCTGTTCAGCTCGCTGCACAGCTTTCGGGGTGCACAACGCACGGCAAAGCTGCCGGCTCCTTCCTGCTGCCTCCTCGGAGCCCAGCCTTGCCTCCGTTGTTCCCGAGCCCCTTCCGCACCTGCCTGCAGTGCCTGCATGTCCTTCCGTGCGCAGATTGGGCCGAGGGGCCGCTTCCAGCACCCGTGAGGCCCTTGGAGCTGCCAAAGAGCCCAACTCCCTGCTCGTGTACATGCTGAAGCTCGGGGAGCGCACCAGGCCCTCTGGCCGCAGTTCCTTTTGTCTCGGCACCTTGGTATCCGTGCACTTCCGCGAGCTGCAAGCGCGTTGCTCCTCTTCCCTCTTAAAGGCTCTGGTAAAGGACCCTTGCTGCTGCTGGGCAGGAGGGTGGTGGGAGCGCGGGAGGAGAGGGGCTGGGCTGGTGCCGCCTTGCAGAGAGGACTGCGCTGCCCCCAGCTCTGGCACCGCTGGCTGACCCCCCAGGACAACTGCTCCAGAAAGCTTGCTCCCCTCAATTTAGCTGAAACTGGTTGAGCTGCGCCGGGGACGGGACAGCAATTGCCGGGCTCGCTGCTCAACACAGCGGCCCACACCGAGGAAGCACCCAGCTCAGCCTTTTCCCCTGTGCAGAGCCTGCGGCACCCGGTCTGGGAGCAGTCCGGCTTGTGCGCTCACGGGCGCTGGCCGGCAGCTCTGAGCAGAGTAGCCATGCAGGGCAGCAGTGCATGGGCCCGGGGTGGGCAAAAGGGGTAGTTTCCCTCCTGTCACTGAGGGGGAGCATACAAGGTGTCTGAAGAGCTCTTCCCCTGCCTGAAGAGCTCTTTGCTGCAGTAGTTGGAGTACAGCAGTGCCGAGCCCTGCTCTGCGCCCAACCCGGCACTTCGAGCCCCGTATCAAAGCAGGTCGATGGCCGTGGCTTGGTCTGCTGCACCATCCAGCAAGGGGGTCACAGGAGCATTGGCTGCAGTCACCTCTTTTCTTGGTGAAGCCAAGATGTAACAGCCTGTGATATGGGGTTGTCAGGCCTGCCCCTGCCCTCTAACCCCCTGTCTCTCTGCAGAGTACAGCCGCTTCGAGTCAAAGATACACGACCTACGAGAACAAATGATGAACAGCAGCATGAGCTCTGGCTCCGGCTCACTCCGGACCAGCGAGAAGAGATCCCTCTATGTCCGGTAAGGCACATCTTTCCCCTCCCCGTGGGTTCGTCTGCCTCTAATGAGCTGGGGGTGGCCAGGGGTCCCCTTGACTGCGGGGAGGGGAGGGGAGGGTCTCACCCCGACGTTTTCCACTGAGCACCCGCACGCTGCAGCTGACCTCTCCAGTGACGTGGGGCCCATCTCTTCCTTTCTACAGCTGAATTTTGCTCTGCCTACACTCTGGGGACACCTTGCAGGTGGGGGCACCTCTCCAGTACATACATGTGTGCACACGTGTGCAAGACCCCTGCCAGGACAGGCTTGTGCTGGGCAGAGGTCCTCCCAGACTGAGCCTCCACGTGGGAGCACTTATCCCAGGGCCATCTCTGAGCAGAACATCTTTGCCTTGCTCCCCCCACCATAGGGAGCACTTGGAAATAAAAGGGCCACCAGGGAATGGGGAATTTGCCATCAAGGCTGCCTGGGACCAGCAATGCCCTAAGCAGGGAGGATCGGGAGCTTTGCGGTAGGGACGTGCTCAGGCACCTCATGGCTGCACCTTCCCAGAGCTGTGGTCAGGTGCAGGGCTGTCTGAGCTGGCTCCTATCTCCCTCTCCAAGTCCCTGAGGCTGGGTCCAGCTGGAGGGGAGACGAGCTCTGTTGGATTATTGCTTCAGTCGTGGGCCAGGCCCACGGGTCAGAGCCATGCTGGGGTCCCCACAGGTTGGAGCAAGGCACTGATGAAGCTGCATCCGATGTGCAGGGATCCCTGCCTTGCTGCTTCAGCCCCTTCCTTCCTGCCCCACACAGATCTCCCCCCCTTCCACTCCAACACCCATGTGCCAGTACCAGGCCTTGCTGTACTGGGCACCGGGCCGTGCAGGTACTGGGTGCTTTCTCCTCAGCCAGCAGCTGCATGTGTAGCTAGGAAGTGATTGTAACTTGCTAATTAAAATGAGTCACGGGGTAGGGGGGTGGGCAGGCATCCCAGCGGGGTGCCTGCCAGCTGTGTACTGAAAGCTGCCTGGAGAGGGACGAGATTGCAAGGCCTTTTTTTTCTTGGCTTTGCCGCCGTCCTGCGCCAGAAGAGGCCCCTGCGGAGGGAACCCAGGGCCAGGGCTGCCAGGTTGTGCTCTGATGTCCAGGTTTTTTGGTAGGCTCTGGCACTGGAGCTCTGCTGTGGGCCCTGTGTGTGTGGCCCTGCATCAGCCTCTCATCGGCATGCCCCGTGCCCTCATCTGACAATCCCGGTGGAGGAGCGCTGGTGCTCCCGGGTGGATCTGACCCTGCTCCCTAAATCCAGCCTTGCAGGGCTGGCTCCTTGCAGACTCCCTGCACCACAGGGCATTTCTGTGTGGTGTATAATGCAGAACGGGCCTGGCAGGGGTCAGGCAGTGGAGATGCCCCTGTTGATGCTGCCGTCGGATGGCCCGGGGGTCGGGCTTCGGGGCTGGGCTGGGCTGGGCTGCACAGGCCTTCAGGAGCCCGAGTATGTCTGGTCGCTGCAGCGAGCTGCTCTCATGAGCAGATGGGAAGAGATGGTCTGTGCTTGGACAGGATCCTACGCTTGTTGACACCAGAGGTTCTTCTTCCTGGCCCCAGAGCTTAGGAGTTCCCTCCCCTCCCCTCCCATGGCAGGTGCCTGCCTCTGGTGGGCGTGGGGCTGACGTTTGCACCACATCTGCTCGCATTGCCTGGCTCACGTGCCCTCCACACACCTCGTGCAGGGACATGGCACTGAACCAGGCCTGTCCCTCTGCTGTAACAGTGCTCTGGGTGCAGCAGCTCTTCAGAGCCTGTCCAAAACTCCCTTCCAGCCCAGCTGCCCCGTCGGGCCCTCTCTCCTGCCTGCCGTTCACCAGCCCCACCCCCTTCGAGCCCTACTCTGTGACAGGGCTCCTGTGGCCCAGGACCACGCTCCAGAGCCACCTTGCGCCTATCTTGGAGAGCCCCGCCCCGCCCTGCCCCGCCCCGGGCTTGTGGGGTGGGGTAGTTTCGAGCACAATTTAGCTGAAACTGGTTGAGCTGTGCCGGGGACGGGACAGCAATTGCCGGGCTCGCTGCCAAGCTGCCTTAGTCAGTCCTCCGGGCAGGCGCATGGCTGTGACGTCAGGTGGGGAGCTCCTGCCAGCAGGAAGCAAGTGCCTGCCCCAGGGCTGGCCACGCCTGCACTTTTTGGGCTGCCAGATGCCCCCGGTCGCCCGTGCACCAGTGACCACTCTCTTCAGAGCATGTCCAGACAGGCCGCAGTGTAACACATGCCGCAGGCCCTCCTGTTCCTGTTCCTGCCCCGGCTCAGGGCACGGTCCCCCTGCTGTGACAAGTCTCCCAGGCCTGGCCGGTCCGGGGACCCTGCTGTATGCATGGCTCCCTCCCTCCTCCTCTTCTCTGAGTGCTGCTGAGAAAGCTCTCGCCTCCCTGCACCACCCCTCCCTGCCTGTATCTAGACTCCAAGAGCCTGCGAGGTGGCTGCTGTTATCTGCCAGTGGCACAGCCCCTGTTCCATGTCCAGTCTGGTGGTGACAGGCATGTTCTGTTTGCAGCCTCTCCCAGCAGCCAGTGCTGAGCCCTGGTCCACACCCAAGTTGCCAGGAGGAGTTCCTGCAGGCCCCATACAGCTGTGCAGACCTAGCCTGGAACGTGGTCCTCTGCCGTGGCCTCGCTGTCAGGGTGCAGGCACGTTGTTCCTTTGGCTTCCCAGGGTCATATGCAGCACAGGATGGTTGTTGGATCTCAAGGGCACTTGGAGCTAGACGCTGTGGTGACAAACAGCTGGGAGCAGTGCAGGGAGGGAGTTGAGCATGGAGCAGATCTCTGAGGAGCTCAGGATGCTGCATGTGGCAAGCCAGCAGGTGTAGGTCCCCAGGAGCACGGTGCCATAGAAAGCTGCCTGGCAAAGTGTTTGTAGCTGCTCTTCTGGAGGCTTGCCGGGGAGCATCTAATGCAGCATGGGCATGGTCAGAGAGTCAGGTCCCAGGAGCCGTTCTTCACACGGGCCTGGCTTCAGGCTGGGCTTCCACGGCGTGGCTGCCGTTCCAGCACCAGTGCTAGGAGAAGAGGGACAGTTCAGTCCCGGGGCTGGGGAGACTTCCGCTTAGCTAGTGGGCATTGGGATCCAGTGGATCAAGGCTAGGCTGGCGCACAGAGCCAGCCCTGTGCCCCCACGCCTCTGCCGGGCTGTGGCTTGCGCACCGTGAACCAAGCTGCGTGGCAGACTGGAGCTGAGCACTGCTGAGGCCTGTGCTTGCTTGGAGTAAACCTGCTTGACCAGTTCCCTTGGTGCCCGCCGCATCTTCCTGTTCCTGACGGCTCTGCCGGGCTGGCTTCAGTGGAGCGGGTGCAGAAGGGCCCTGTGGAGTCGAGGCTGCAGCACAGCGGTTGGGAGAGAGTTGTACAGCTGAGAGCTGAGCCGGGCTCTGAGCTGCTGGTGCTTCGGCACCGTCAGGGGTGAAGATGCCGCAGTTCAGTCTTGGCTCGCGGTGCCGGTGGCTTTCTCCCTTGTGACTGTGCTGGCGTAGCTGGGGGCTGCCGTCCTGACCACCGCCGTGTTGGAATCATCATCGTCGCGGGGTCCCCGCTTGTCGCAGCCAACCTGGGGCTGCAACTTGGGTGCAGACGGGCTCTTCGGGGCTGCGGTCTGTGCAGGGACAGGGCAGACATCTCCATCCAGACCACAGGAAACAAACTTTGAAGCCAGTGATGTACGAGAGGATGGTGAAGTTGCTGCTGTGCTGGTTGTAGAGCCACAATTAGAGGGACTTCATCGGCTTAAAAATGGGTAACATCTGCCCTTACTGTTGCAAAGGTCCCTGCTCGGAAGCGACGAGGCGGGACAGAGCATTTCTCTCTGCAGCAGCTTGTCTGTGTGGGATGGCTGCAGCCTCCAGCCCCAGTCACGCCTTCTCCAGGCAGTCGGTTTCTCTTGCAAGTCCCTTGCATGGAGAAGAGGCACAGGGGATACGTTGGCTGGACCGGGAGCTCTGAAATGGACCCCACTTCGAGCTGCTGCTGTCCTTCAGTGGCTTTGTTAGAAGCTGCCTGGTTTCAGCCCCCGTTACCTGAAGGATGAGAGAGTTTCAGAGCGTGAAGGTGATGGCTCGCGCAGTCGAAAGTGCTTTCCTCTGCCCCAAGCAGGCTCGTGGCTGCTTTGCCGGTCTCTCAGGGCTACTTCAGACCAGGTGCACTGGAGCAGAGCTGTTGCTGGCTGAGCGTCGTTCGTGCGGGGCACTAGGGCTCTGTGCTGCCTCCTCACTTCTGCAAACCTGGCTCCGTGGGTCGGCCATTCAGCAAGAGAAACGGCGAGTGGCCCCGAGACGCCGCGTAGAGACGGCCTGAGGGGAAGCTGAGCAGAGCGACGTGTCTGCGGGGCAGCCGCTGCAGAGCCGATCTGCTTTGGAGCCCGGGGTGCTGCTCCAGGCGGGAGGGGGTCTGCAGGCCCTGGGCAGCGTGTGCGTTGGGGGATTGCACATAAGGGTCTTAGAAATGACGTTAACCAGCTTCCCTGAGCTAGGGTGATGGAGGGCGGTGCTGTGGGCACTCAGCACCCTGTCTCTGCTCTGCCGTGGTACATGGTGCTTTTGGTCGCTGCTTCCTCACCGTGAATTTGTTGCAAAGGGACATTTCCTTGCAGCGAACATGGGTCTCGCTGCTTTTGCATTCGAGGTCATTTAAAGCCCGGCGGTGTATGGAGCTGCTCCACAGATAAGGCTGCAGCTCGTGTGCTATTAAAAGCCTCCTGTTCAGCTGCCTCGCAGCTTGCCGGGAGCTTGTGGTTCCTCTCCTTTAGAAGAAAATTTATAGACAAGTCCGTGGTGCATTGAAGTTTATGGTGAGAGATGTCACGAAAGACAAAGTTATTCCTGTACTGTAAATTGAATTGTAATGTAAACTGTGAGCAGGAGAAGCAACAGCTATGGGACAGGGGCTTAAACATTCAGATACATTCGCAGTTTACAGTGTCTGAAATAGAACCCGCGTCTGCACAAAATATCACACTAAACACGGCCTCTGCTCTGTGTCGGCAGAGCTGCCTGCTGGCCAGCCCCAGGGAGCAAGGTTGTAGTTCAGCCACGTCACTAGAAACATCTTAAATCGCTGCCAACCGGTGTCATGTTAATCCAGTCTGCAGCCCTAGTAATCCCATCTCCCTTCCTGGCTGGATAAGAAACCTGTTAGCTTGGCCTGATGAGCAGCGCTGCTCTGCACTCTCTCGCCTCCGTGTAGGCAGCGCATTGGGGGCACTTGGCCTGGAAGGCGAGGCACCGACTCCCGTGCAGGGGGCAGATCAGGAAAGGACGCTGGCCTTTTCCTGTCTGCCCAACTGCTGAGCTGCTGCCGCCTCATGGGCTGCGGGGAGGAAGACGACAACGTTTCGGGAAGGCGCGTGCGGACTGGCATGGAGGGTGTCTGGGTGGTTGTGGGTGCAGAGAGCCGTGAGACCGTGTGTAACGGGAGGGTGGTGGACGGAGGCAGCCTGGACTGGAAATGTTCAGGGTGCAGAATTGCTGCCCGAGCGGTGACAGCGGGTCAGCAGCAAAGGGCACTTGCGGGTGACAGCCTGCAGCAACGTCCCGGCTGTCCTGCGAGTGGCAGCCGCTGGCCATAGCACATCCACAAGCTGCAGCCGACATGGCTGGGCATGCAGGTTTGGTCTGCTAGGGTGGGGCTCGGGGATTGCAGAGGCAGCCACGTTAGAGACCCACTTCCCACAGCTGTATAGGGAGGACACTGTATTGGTGTCGGGGCACGTGGCTCCCCCCCCAGCCAGGTCCCCTGCAGGCATGTGGCCCAGCCCTGGCAGGGTCGTGGGCTGCATTGTTGCCTGCCTGGCTGCCCTGCTGTGACCCGCCTGCCCCCCTGGCTGTGCCCAGCGAAGCTCCTTCTCACGTCCCTGTTTTCTGCTCCCTTGCAGAGCGCTGTTTGACTACGACCGGACCCGGGACAGCTGCCTGCCCAGCCAGGGGCTCAGCTTCTCCTACGGGGACATTCTGCACGTCATCAACGCCTCCGACGATGAGTGGTGGCAGGCGAGACTAGTGACGCCGCACGGGGAGAGTGAGCAGATTGGGGTCATCCCCAGCAAGAAGAGGTGAGTGTCCAGACCCTGCTCCTAACCCTGGTCGTGCTCCAGGGTTTGGCTTGACAGCAGGGCCTGGTAGTGAGAGCCATCCGTAGCAGTGGTTTCATTAATGGCCCTGACTCGCAGGTGTGAGCGCAAGGGCCCCAGCTCCCCTTGAAGGAAGCTGGGTCCGCCCCCCTGCCTGGCTGCAGGGTCACGGGAGCGGGGCAGGAAGCTTGTTCATAGGGCTCTGCAGCAAGACCCTCCTGAACAGAAAGGGTTGGTGGGCCACCCCAGAGCCCAGCTCGCTGGGGCAGGAGCACACGGACCTATTCCAGGAGGCACATGTCCAGCTCTGGGGGTGAAAATCAACACAGCCCGTTCCCTGCCCCTTGTGCTGCCCAGGACTGTCCATGTCTGCCAGCCAAGCCCCGTTGAACACGAAACCTCAGACCCCGGAGAAAAGAGGAACCAGCCACCTCAAGCTGTGTCTGCGGGCTCTGCGGGTTTTGTGTTGAAGCAGAAGCAGATTCTGGGCACGTGAGAAGGGAGCAGGCACTTCCCTCCCATCCGCCACCCGGCCCGTCCTTTCAGTGCCTGCAGGGCCGATGTGGGCACAGGTGGTCTCTGTTGCAGCAGGAGCTGGCCAGGTTTGGAGGGAGATGGGCAGGATCCTTCCAGGCTGGGGATGTTTGGGACCAGTGATGTGCAGGCCTGAAAGCAGCTTCACCCCAGTGGAGTTGGTTCCCTTGGGCTCCAGGTGGGGAAAGGCTTCTGCGTCCTCACCCGACTCCTCCTAGAGGGGCCAAGTTTTCTGTGCTCCCTGCAACACGCCTCGCGCCCACCCTATGCTCCTGGCAGGGTTTGTGCCGGACCTGCTTTTGGCATGAGGGCTGCTAGGGCCAGCCAGGCTCTTGGCATTGGTTGCAAACCTGCAACAGGCTGGCTGTTCTAATCCACCTCTGACAGCAGCCCCCAGGGCCTCCAGCGCTGTCTCTGCATGCCGGTCTGTCTCCTGGGAGCTCTGGGGTGCAGGGCTGGCTGTGACCCCAGGGGCAGCAGAGCTCAGCAGCCTCGTGCAGAGCACTAGCAGGTTTTCTCTCTCGACTTCTAACCAGGGTGGAAAAGAAGGAGAGGGCGCGATTGAAAACAGTCAAGTTCCACGCTCGGACCGGGATGATCGAGTCCAACAGGGTAAGCACCGCAGCCGGGTGGGGGGCAGGCGGGCGGGCGGGCTGGGCTGAGGTTGTACCGAGAAGGGCAGGCAGAGTCTAGGCCCAGTGTCGTAATGCGCCCCTCTCGGGCATTGTAGCCAGCAAGAGCAGTTGTGTGCAGGGCTGGGGCTGGACCCATTGCGGCAGAGCCCCTCCCCGCGCCCTGGGTCCGAGTGAAGATCTACGAGACGGCAGTTGGGAGCGGCATGACGGGGTTGCGCAGACACTGGCGCTTGTAGCAGACTTCCCTGCCGTGCTGCCGGTGACCACGCCGGCAGGTGGTCAGGGCCTGGGTCGTGAGGAAGCACGGCCCTCTGCAGACCCTGGCTGGCGGGAGCCGGCCTCACGCGGCGTGTACGGGCACCTTGAACTGGGCTGACGTGGGAGGCCCAAGCCGTGCTGGCTCCCCCTGCGGCAGGCAGGGCACGGGCTCCCCGTGCGGACTTGACGGTCGACTCCCCTACATCCCCGCAACACACTTTTTTTTCTCTGCACTTAATTTTTCTCCTGCATTTTAGTCTCCATGTAATCTCCATGATTTCATTTGCGGGGCATGGCCCCGCACCCCCAGCTCCTCATCGTCTCTTCATTTTTAATTTCCCTTGCATGCGTTAAACGCCATTGTTTTTTCTGTCCTCCCTTCCATCTCCATGTTCTTCGCAGTCGATCAAAACGAAACGTAAAAAGAGTTTCCGCCTCTCACGAAAGTTCCCATTTTACAAGAGCAAAGAGAACCTGGCCCAGGAGAGCAGCGGACAGGAACGTAAGTAGCAGCCGGCCAGACAGGAGCAGCCGGCCGCACTCCCCCAATGCCCGGGGCCTGCTCACGGCAGACACGGCGCGCGGCTTCGGCCTGCAGTCCCCTGCACCAGGCTGGGCCCAGCCATCAGGCAGCACCCACCTGGGCTTTCTCGCGCACGGGACCTGTCTGAGACTGCTTCCCTGCCTCTGGCTGCGCCTCCCCCAGTCCCACGGGCTTCCCGCCATGTGCAAGCGGCTCCCTGAGCACAGGAGAGCCCAGGCTGGAGCGTTTCCCGTCGTTCTCGGGAGCCCTGCCCTCTCCTCCACAGCCGGGCAGGCCCTGGGAGGGCAGTGCGCAGGGCAGGCTTGGCCTGCCGCCACCACAGATGATGTTAGGGCTAGGTTGGAAACCCCCAAGCGTTCAGGGCAAGGAGAAGCCCCTTGAAGTTCAGCCAGTGTCCTCCTCACCGCTCCTCTCTACCTACCTCATCCCTCCACCGCTGCTAACCTCCCCGCCACAGCGTGGGCTGCCTCAGCCGTGTCTGTCCAGCCCCAGCTCTCTCGTGTGTGTGGCGTCTTCATCCTTTCACTGCTCTCAGCCCTCGCCTCCGTTCTGCTCTGCTTTCCTCTGCTCCTCCCTGACATGCCCTGGGCTCTGCCTTCTTCCGCTGCCCCGGGCTGCCTCCCTCGCAGGACACGAAGCGGGGCATGCGGGTGCCCCAGGGAGCCCAGCCGCGTGTCCCTGCCACCTCGCTCTCAGCAGCCCCCTGCCACGGCACATCTCGGGGCCCCTTGGCTCGGGTGCATGACCCTGGCTCCAGGCAGGGGGAAGGTCCCACTGCTGGCAGCATCATCGGGCTCCCGGTTGGAGGGGTTTGCGCTAGGCTGAGAGGGCAGCTGCTCTTCCACCTCCCACTCGCTCCGTGGCACAGGAGCTGGGCCGAGCCGTGCTCCGGAGATGGAGCCTACCGAGAGCCGTAGAGGGGGTGCCCGGGCTGGGCTGGGCTCCGAGGAGCCTGACCAGACGACAGGGGCCTGTGAACGCTGTGAGTGCCAGCCTACGCGCGTGGACAGACAGGTGCCCCGGTCGTGGAACAAGCTCAGTAGCCGCCGTGCCGGCTGGTGTCTGATGCTGGGCAATTGCAGCGCTCCCGGGTCTGGCATCGGGGCTACGAACCATAGAGATGCCGCTGAGCAGAGCAGCTGTTGCCAGCTCCCAGCAGACCCGTGTGTGGGGCTGCTTGCAGTGCCGTACTGAGGGCACAGACCCCAGTTTCCAGGCTCCGTCTCAGGCAATAACCAGTGGGCTGCGGACCCGGTGCCATCCTGTCAAGGGTGCGTGCTTCCTGTGCGCCAGCACGGCCGGCTGGTGCCGAGCTCCGCGTCTGCCTGTGGCTGCAGCCTGCGGGAGGGTTTGCTGCAGGAGCCAGAGGGATGGGACTTCTGCCCTCCCGTGGCAAGGGGAGGGAGAGGAGGGGCCGCGCCCAGTCTGGGCTGCCAGGGGCTTGTGGAGAGACCTGCCCCGTGCAGGATGCTCTCGCCAGCGCGGGGCCTGGGCTGCCGTCTCGCTGCCTGTGCAGGGCTGGGGGCGGGGGCCGCGTGACGTGGGGGAGCTTCCCTCGCAGGCCTCGCGTGGAGTGTAGGGCCGGGGCAGGCCCCACGTGGGTGCAGCGGTCCCGGTGCTCCTGCTCCAGGCCGGGGACTTGGGCTGCGGCCCGCGGGGAGGCTGCCGTGGTCGAGAGAGGGCGCTTGTGGGGCCGGACGCCTGTGGACAGGGGTTTGTCACTTCACTTGCAGCTGCGGCTCTCGACTGCCCTGTCACTAATGCTCACCTGGCTCTGTCTTCTTCCTCTCCCTGTCTCCGCCTCCCTCGCCTCCCTCTCTCTGTTTCTCTTCCCCCCCCTTCTTGCTGTCTGTGAAATCAGGACTTCCCTGGGTTAAGTGACGATTATTATGGAGCAAAGAACCTGAGTAAGTCCCCTTTGCGTGCGCATGGCCCGTCACGGTCCCCGTCCGGCCCTGTCCCGGGGAGGCACCGCTCCCGACTTCACTCCGGCTCCGAGGCTTCTCAGCCTGGGGTGTCAGGGGAGGGGGAACGGCCCTCCGCCTGCTCCGCGGGAGAGCAGGCATCCCCTCGCCGTAGGCCGGGTCCTGCCCAGGCCCTTCCCCCTTCAGGGCTCCAGGCTGATCCTCACTGGCCCCTTGGGCTCGGAGCTGGCGTGGACCTGGCTGGCTGTGCCGGCCCAGAGGCCTCCCTATGCTGCCCATATCGCGGCAGGCGCTGCCCAGCGATGGGGCCCGGTCCCCCCGAGCTGTGGCTCCCAGGGCTTGGCCGTGACGCTTTGGGGCCAGCCGGGCGGGAGCGTGCAGCCCTGCGCTGGTGGGACCTCTGCAAAGCGCGTGTAGCGAGGCTGCCGGCGGGCGAGGCTTGCGCGGCCTCTGGACTGCAGCTCCCAGGTGCCGAGGGCCCGTGCCCAGGCTCCGTGCACATCTCGCAGGACGCCGGAGGCAGCGGCCAACTTGGTACAGCCGTTCCCGCGTCCCCCAAGACCTTGGGAGCAGGCCGTGGGGGGAACAGCCCCATGGGGAGCAGGGTGCCGCAGTGCTGGAAACGGTGTAAAGGAGCCATGCCCCGAACTCTGCCCCGTCCTGTCGGTGTCTCGTCCGTCTCCCCTGCCCGCTACGTCTGCCCTCAGCAGGTCACGCTGCCCTCGCCCCGGCATCCCACACGGTGCCCTGCGCAGCTCCAGGCCCAGCAGGGAGCTGGCGCCCGCCCCAGGGCGAATCCCTCGCGGGGCCACGGCCACGGCCACCGCTGGCGCCCCGTTCCCGGTGCAGACGTCTGCCCCGGCACGGCACCGGCAGAAGCCGCCCGTGGGCAGGGGTGGAGCCTGGAGCTGAGCTCTCCCTCGTCCCGTGTCCTGTCCCCCGGTCTCCCGGCTGGGGCTGCTGGCTTGGCCAGGGCCCTGGCCCTGCCCCTGCCATGCTCCTTGCTAGGGATAGACGAGCAGGGGCCGCCCCAGGGCTGCAGAGGGAGGGAGCCTGCCCCAGCCCCCTGAAGCAGGGCGTGCACGAGCCTTGTCCTGCGTGGGCCCCGCATGTTGCGGGAGGTCTGTGCAGCACCCGTGTCCTGCAGCCACGAGCCCTCAGTGACGGTCTGTCCCCTCCCGGCCACCTCCCGGGGAGCTCCTGGCCGTGCTGGTTCTGACCCAGGTCTCTTGTTGGTTTGCAGAGGGCGTGACGTCCAACACCAGTGACAGCGAGAGCAGCTCCAGTAAGTGTCCATCTTCTCCGCGCCGACCGTCTCCCTCCCTCCTGTCCCGCTGGCGTCTCCTGCTCAGAGTTCATGCCTCTGGGGCCTGCAAGGCTGGGCAGCGCTGTGGCCAGCTCCCTCCGGCCCGTGCTGTCTGCCAGGCCTGGCCCAAGGGCCCTCAGCGGGTGCTGTGACCTGGTTTCCCCCTGGCTCGTCCCCAGCACCAGGACCCCACCCAGGGCTCTGACTGCCAGAGCTGCGCTGGCTTCTGACCTCAGGCAGCTCCTGCCAGGTCTCAGGAGTCGTGACCCTTGCGAATCCTTGGCTGCTCCCAGAGCAGAGGCCTCAGCTGTGGCCTGGGGCTGCTGTGCCGGCAGCATTTGGGCCACCTGATGGTTGCATCCCACTCATGTCCCTGTCCTGACTGCATCTTGGGTGGACACAAGCGCACGGGCTGGGGCTGGACGAGGGAGCATAGCGCCCACTGCACTCCTTGCACCCTTGGAGGCTGCAGGTCCAGGCAAGGCAGTGCCAGCTCTGGAGCACGCGTGTGATGGGCAGGAGCAGAGCTAGCTGGCTGTCCATGTGGGCAGCACGTGGCTGGCTGTGGGAGAGCCCTGACGGGTGCACGGGGGTGCGAGTGGCTCCTGTGCCGGCCGCGGGAATGCAACCTTTGGGGCAGCCCGGCGGGGGGTGGGGGGGCTGCTTTAGGCTGGGACGCAGCCTCCGGCCCTACTGTGCCCAGGCTCTGCCAGGCGGGAGGGGCAGCCCCGACTGCGCGCAGCGCTGGGGTGTCTGGTAGCCCAGGCCGGAGCAGCGGAGGGGCCGGCGCTCACCTGCTTCCCCCGGTCTGTTGCAGAAGGACAAGAGGACACGATTCTGTCGTACGAACCGGTGACGCGGCAAGAAAGTAAGTGCAGGAGGCAGTGGTGGCAGGCCACGGCCACGGCACCTCCCTCCCCAGACCCTGCACTCCCCCTGACAGCTGGAGCCTGCCAGGCCGCTGCTCCCTGCCCTGCCCTGCCCAGCCAGCGCCCACCAAAAGCCGGCGTGCCTGGTTGCCTGCTGCCACCCGGGCTGCTGGCGGGGAAGGAGGCCCTGTCAAAGCTGCCGGTGGTTCCTGCCCCACCTTGGTTGCAGCTGCAGCTTGTCCCCAGTCTGTGAAACGAGGGCTGAAGCTGTAACCCCAGGCCTGTGGCACCTTCACCTGCCTGGCCCCCCACACACTGCCCCCAGCTTCCTCCTGCACCAAGCTGCTCCCCTGGCCTCAGTCTGCCCATCTGCCCCAGTGTCCAGTCCGTGCCCCTGCATGCTCATGCCCAACCGGTCCCCGGATGGGACTGCAACTTCCTTCCTGGCCAAGTGCTGTTGCGTTGCTGGTGCTTGGGTTGAAGGACATCCCAGGCGGTTTCCCCAAGCTCCCAGCTGGTTCCTCCTCCAGCTGCAGCATGACACGGCCTCAGAGCCCCAGCCGCAGCCCGGGAAGGGACATTGCCCCCACAGGGGCCTTGGTGCGACGTGCACGGATGCTGCAGCCGGGGGACCAGGCCCCAGCCCTTGGCCAGGGCTATGGCTTTGGCAGCGTGTGGGGAGGGGGCACCACCTCCAAACCTGGCTGCCTTGCACCCACGAGTGTCCTGCAGCCCCTCATGCCTGCCTCAGTGGCCCGTGCCCCGACCCCAGAAGCCGCAGCCTGGGCCCTTGCGCAGCCAGGCGTGGCCGTGGCCGTGGCCGTGGCCGTGGCCAGCTCCTGAGGCCAGCAGCAGGGCTCAGGGTATGGTTTTGTTCCCAGTTCATTACGCACGGCCGGTGATCATCCTGGGGCCGACGAAGGACCGGATCAACGACGACCTCATCTCCGAGTTCCCGCACAAGTTTGGCTCCTGCGTGCCGCGTGAGTCAGGCATCTTCCTTGTGGGGTGGGATGGGAGGGACGTTTGGAGGGGGCCTGCCCGCGGCCCCGGCAGCCAGGTGGTGGTGGTGACGAAGCCTGCCCTCTCTTCCAGACACCACCAGGCCACGGCGCGAGAACGAGGTGGACGGGCAGGACTATCACTTCGTCGCGTCCCGGGAGCAGATGGAGAAGGACATTCAGGACAACAAGTTCATCGAAGCCGGGCAGTTCAACGACAACCTCTACGGGACCAGCATCCAGTCGGTGCGGGCCGTGGCAGAGAGAGTGAGTGAGACGCCCTCTGGCACAACAGCCCCACGCTCCCTTCTCTTCAGCAATCCCCGCTGCATGGGGAGACCAGCCCGCCTCCGGCCACGTGGCTGAAGCAGAACCCTGTTGCTGCTCGGTGCCTGCCTGCAGCTCCCTCCACGGGCACGAGGCCAGCTGCCAAGCCCCTGGGCCTCTAAAGCCACTGTCAGCAGCCTCAGCCCAGTCTGCCCTGGGCGGTGGCGCACAGCCGCTTGGCCAGTGACCACGGGAGCAGACGTTGTGTGTGCCCGGAGCACGGCAGAGCCTGGGTGGTGGAGATGGCTGCAGTCCCTTGCCTCGGGCACTGCCGCAGGACCCCGTTGGCACGGATGCCACGTCCCGTCCCCTAGCCCTGGCCCCGTCTGCTGGAGAAGCGGGCAAGGCCACACGGGGGGGACACTGACCCAGGCCTCTTTCACCCTTGCAGGGGAAGCACTGCATCCTGGATGTGTCTGGCAACGCCATCAAGAGGTTGCAGCAAGCACAGCTTTACCCTATTGCCATTTTCATCAAGCCAAAATCCATCGAAGCGCTCATGTAAGTGAAGCCACCTGTCGGCTGCCTCCCCGTTGTGGCCGCGAGGTCCTGTGTCCCTGCCTCTCCAGCTTAGAAAGAGGCGTCGCTGTTGCTCCAGCATCAGCTCTTAGGTCCGGTGACATTTGCTGCGGGTGCCTCCCCTTCCCCACATGCAGCTGTGCTCGTGTGGAAAGGGCCAGGCCTGGATGGCGTGATCTCCTCTTGCTGGAGCCATCCCGATCTTGGGCCCTGATCCGTGCGCTCCCGAGGGCTCGGGGCCTGCAGTCGGGGAAGCCACCACTGGGGAATGGATCTGTCAGGCAGGGGATAGATCAAGACAGGCACGCTGGGCAGAGGCAAGAAGCCTCGTGTGTGCCTGTCGGAGACCTTGCGTGGCACTGGCCAAGAGGAGGGCTGGTGAGAGATGAGACCAGAGCTCAAGGGCTCTTGCAGTGGGGGTGGTCGCTCCAGACCACTTTGCGACACCGTCTGGGGCAGGCCCAGTTCCTGCAACTGGGTTGGGTGGCTCAGGGCAGCAGGAAGTGCAGGGCCCAGATTCGTCGTCCTGCCTCCTGCCCTGACGGGGTGAACCCATGTGACGTGGGGCTGGGCTGGAAGGGGGGGCAGGTGGTTCATTGTTTCGCCTGCTTTAAACGAAAGGGTTTGTGGCTCTTCCTTCCCTGTCTCTAGGGAGATGAACCGGAGGCAGACGTACGAGCAAGCCAACAAGGTCTTCGACAAAGCCATGAAACTGGAGCAGGAGTTCGGGGAGTATTTCACAGGTGAGAGCCCCGGGGCCAGCTCTTCCCCCTCCTGCGCCAGCAGTGCTGACTGCACCCATGTGCTTGGTGTCGTGGGAAACCGTCCACCCGCATGGAAACAAAAGCAGCGAGAAGGGGAGTGTGTCACCGTGCGTCACGGCTGGGCTCTCCAGAGATTTGGGATAAGGGCGATTGCCCGGAGGAGGGGGCAGCCAGGCAGGGCTCTGAGTGCAGGGAGGCTGCGCGGGGAAGGGCAGCAGAGAAGTGAAGGCCTGTTAGTGCCCCCAGGGGTGCAGGTGGGAGGGCTTCGGCCGTCTCACCGGGCCGGGGCCAGGCCGTGCCCAAAGGAGAGGGCGACTTCAGCGAGAGGCTCTGGCTGCAATTGGTGACTCCAGTGGCTGTCTCTGAACAGCACTTGTGGGCAGCGTGGCCGATATAAGTAGCCTATTGCCTCCACCCCTGGACAGGGGCGGCTGCCCATACGGCTCAGGGCTGGGAGCTGGCACCCGTAAGGATTCGGGTGGGTGGGCAGCGCACGGTCTGGAAAGCCACAGGCAGGTGGGGTGGCACGGACACAGTGCCGGCCTCCTCCAAAGGAAAGGGGAGCAGCGCTGCACAGCCGTCCCCGCCGCCCCGGGCACTCTGCCGGGCAAGGGCGGGGGCCAAGTTGTGGCACAGCAGGATCAGGAGAGCAAAGACTGTTCCCTGGAGACGAAGCGAGCTGGGCTTGCTCTGTCCATGGAGTGACCGTGAGCTGCCCGAGGAAGCTGAAGCACGCCAGGCCTTCAGCAATGCAGCTGATTCTGTCTGTCCTGGGGGGGTAACGGAGCCTGGCTGGCCTGGGAGACCCGAGACATGGGTGGGAGCTGGGGGACTAGGGTGGGAAATACCCTGTGAGAGGCAGAAAGCAAGGAGCACCCAAGGGGGCAAGCACTGCTGAGGCCTGTTGGGGAGGGAGCCTCATTCGCCAGGTGGCAATAGCAGGAGGCCTGGAGCGTGCGGGGCCTGGGGCTCTGCTGCGGGGTCGGTGCCTGGGAGCCAGGAGGAGATGGGCAGGTTCAAAGAGAAGCTGGCAAAGGCCCTGAGCTGGCGCGGCGTGGCACTGCCCAGCGCTCACAGGCTTGTTCTTTCCTCTTCCAGCCATCGTACAGGGAGACTCTCTCGAGGAGATTTACAACAAAATCAAACAGATCATTGAGGACCAGTCCGGGCACTACATCTGGGTCCCGTCCCCTGAGAAACTCTGAAGACTTCCCCCACCTCCTTCCTTGTGAGCAGAAGATCTCTGAAATCCCACCCCCGCCCACGCCCTCTGCCCCACGGGGGGACACGAATACTCTTCCTGCCCCTTTTTTAGATCGTCGCAAAATTGAGTTTTCTAGTCCTGTTTCTTTTTGTTGGGATGAAGCGATCTCATTCATCACGTGACTGTTCCCACCATCCCTGCATGGACCTCCCCACTGCGCCATTAGAGACGGATGAGACCCCATTCAAGAGTGGTTTTTTTTTTTTTATTCTTATTACTATTATTATTAATGAAACCAAGCAGCGAGACGGGCCGAGGAGGCTGAGGACTAATGTAAAGAACGACCGAAACCGGGCTGCGGCACTGAGAGAGGAGTGGAGCTTCCCGGGCATTTCTCCATGTGTGTCTGTCACTGTCGTGCAGCCCTGACCAGCGCAACACAAAGGCAACAGAAAGCATTTTATTTATCTGTATATGTAATTTATATATAATATAGAGAGAGATATTATATATATATTATATATATCTGTGGACTAGCAAACAGGAGGGACCTCCTAAACGGTACTATTTTATTGCTAGGATGCATCCAGTTGTCCCAGGCACTGCGTACGGGAGTCCGCTCTGGTCAGGAAGAGATTGAACCGGGACCAGGTGCTCTGAATGATTCTCCCGGCGGGTCAGTCTTTCACGAGCCAGTGCCCAGGGCTGGAGGGTAGGGCAGAGACGAGGATGTGGTGTGCGCAGAGGGGGCCACGGGTCTGGAACCACACGAGCGGCAGTAGCCGATCTGAGGCTGGGAGAGGAGACTAAGCAAGAGGCTGCCGAGCGAAAGCGTGGATGCTAGTACATATTAAATTGCACATTGTTTTACAGGCCACCTGATGATGTGTTTGCATGAGAGGTTTCCTTTTTGTTCTATTTTTTTAAGCGGATGTTAAACCAAAACCATGTTGTGTTGCTGTGTCGGCTTTTTCATGACTCTGAGTTTCTCATGTTAATAATGAACTGAACGGGTATAAAGTCCATTTTTTAACTTATTTTTTAAGATGGCTCCATTGTAAATAGAACCTGGGCCCGGGCCGCCGCAGTCCAGGAGCTCTCTGCAGATCACGTGAGATGGACTGGCCGGCCGCTCCGTGCCCCTCGGGCCGACCCTGGCCCGGGGGGCAGCAGGCAGGCTGGCCCGCTCTCCTTTGCGGAAGGGCGCTTGAGCCCCTGGGAGTTAGCGGCAGGCCCCGGCTGCGCCTGGGACAGACGCTCAGAGCTCCTCAGGTCTGTCCAGGGATTCAAAGCAGCCTCAATTCCAGGAGCAACTGAAACCCTCCCTCCCTGCCTGCCTGCCTGCCACGGCCTAGACTCAGGGCTCTTTCCCCTGAAGGCAGCGGTGACCTTCATGGCACTGCCACCCTTGTGGCAGCGCAGCCGTGTCCCCTCTGCTCCCCTGGGACTCGGGCTGTGGCAGCTATGCAGGCATTCACCCCTCATCCCTCTCAAAGCCTCTGCCTATGTCCTGGTTCTCCAAGTGGGATCCTGCCCTCCCTAGCCATGCTTTCTAGAACCAGACGCAGGAGCTGGACTGTGAGCAGGGAAACCGGCACGACCGCAGGCGTGAAACCTGGCACTGGGAGCAAGGAGCAGGTGCTGCTGAGGAAGCTCAGGCGTCCGTTTGAACGTGGCTCCATCCGAGGAGAACGTGCCACCTCATCCAAGGGGAAAGCCCACAAAGTCCTTGGGAACCGTCTGGACTGGACTGTTCACGTCTCAGCAGCGCAAGGTCCCCTTTGGTAGGGAAACTGTAAATACTTTTCTCCCAGCCACAGCCACGTGCCCCCAGCAGGACAAAGGCGGTGGCCCACGACAGCGTTGGTAGGTACGTTCCTCTTCCCCGGGTAGGGGCAGATGGCGCCAGTTCCTTGCCTAGCCGTTAGGGCTGGCCAGGGTGGCTTCCACATAGCACCGAGAGGACGCTGTCCACCTGCGCCAGCTGCGTCACTGCCGCGCCGCTGCAGGGTGCAGGCACACTGCAGTGAGCGAGAAGCGCCTGCTTGTGCAGCAGTTGCCTGCGTCGCGAGAGGAGTTTGGATGGGCTTTAGCCACCAGCTGAGACTGGAAGCACAGCCGTGCAGACCGCACCAGCAGTGTCAGGGCGGCAGAGGCAAAGCAGCGGTGCCTATTGTCAAGCTGGAGTCTCCCCGTGGAGCAAGCGTGGGTAGGGGCCTGGCGGTCGCTCTTCCTGGGGTCTGCTCCACACTAGATGCCGCCAGCCTCACACCAGAGACAGGGAGGAGGTGAAGCAGCGGCAGCAGACGCCCCCACGGCTAGTCTCACAGGTCCAGCTCCTTTTCTTTTTCTGATAGCCTGTGTCCCTCTCCTCTAGTCCCATGGAGAGAAGATCAATGTGCTCCATGGCATAGCTGAAAGTATCCGATCAATCATGACAACACTAGTTGGTTACCAGTGTTTCTTCCAAGGAGACGTATATTTTTAATAAACAGAGTTACAAAGATGTCCGTCTCAGAGCCCTTCTTGCAGAAACCGCACGGCATACCAGCTCCCGTCCTGCCCTGGGCTCCTCCTAGCAGCTGAAGGGTTAAAACCAGGTGCCGTACTGGGAGGCGGGCACGGAAGACCACCCCTTGCAGCTCTGGGGTGCCCAGCGCCCTCGTAACCAGACCCTGGCGCTCCCTGGGTTAGTGGTTGCAGGCCTTGCAAACATGGGGTGGTTAGGGATCGTACGGAGCAGCTACAGTGGCCCGGTGAGCTTGCCATGGTGAGCCGCAGCGGCCTGCAGGCCGGGTGACCAGCAGATGCAACTGTCCTGTGCCAGGGGAGGGACTGTGGACTCCAATGGTGGATGCTGCCAGCCTGGCAGGAAAAAGCCTGGGTCTTTGCCTAACAGGAATGTGAGGCAGGGGCAGGGGCAGGTGGGGCTTACATGCTTGAATACCTTGTTTGTACAGTATGCGGGGGACAGGGAATTGCAGCAAAAGGAGTTTTCTTTTGCTCAAAGGTGGGGGGGG